AAGCAGGTGGATGACCAGACTTGTGTCAGTACTGTAGTCGACCAAATACACCACTTGTGGGACTTGATGCCAGTACTGTATCTGCGATCCGTATATATAAAAGACTAGCTCTCGCTCAAAGGGACATGCGATCTGAAAGCCATGCCATAGACGTATGCCTGATAGCAGCGATGATGGTGATGATAATGATGATGGCGAGTCTTCGAGTAACTCATCTATCTGTGCATGAATGCAAGTCTCGTACTTCACCCGGCTTGAAAAGCGAGGGGAAACCCCTGCGACCTTGACAACTTCTAACATGTGGCGCGCAATTGAGGGTGATTTCTCGGACAGGAGACGTTTCCGGGTCACCCACGTCAGCTTTGTAACGACGCGCGAGCTCGGTGCTGCGACCAAATCCACTGAGTTCGTCCGTGGCGGTCCTCCCCTTGACCCAACGGACCTTGCCGAGTTAAATTTAAAGTTTGGGCACAGGGTTTTTCCGCCGGGTTCTTTTAGAAGACCTTAGAACTTCGGGCTATGTCCAGGCCTCACGAAGCGCATGAGATCGGAGATTCTTGGTGGCGGACCTCCACAGCTCCCTAAACGCCCCGGTGATCCTCCGAGCGGCAAAACGTTGCGCTCGCCGGTGCCCTTCTTGTCGAGGCCATAGGCGATCGCCGCGGCCGTGGGCTCGTTGATGATGCGCAAGACGTTCATGCCGGAGATGGTGCCTGTCTCAGCGGCCTGAACGCCTTATATAACGGTGGTATGATTCGAAGGGTTTTTCCCTGCGTGCCAGTATTCACCACGACAAATAGTAGAAAGGTGGTGTTTAAGATCATATGGCTTTAGGCAATGCCAGTTCACACGGTTTCATTATGATAATAATTCCTGCAGCGGATATCAGCGGATTGGTTTTACACATGTCGTTGCCTTAAAAAGAATGTTTGAGTGCTTGCTTCTCTAGATTCTTGATCGTGACAAACAAAAAGGCGGTGTAAACTGTCCAGGTCTGCCTCTCAGGTCATTCCTGGGCCGGACTCTTGATTGGTTCTTCACTCCCAAAACGAAGGGCCCGAAGTGAACCGGTGCGCCCGTCCGGTGCGCCTGCATCCTTGGTGGCCTGACGCTGGGAATCGTTGAAGTAGGCTGGCACGGTCACCACGGCATCGTTGATCTGCACGGTATCCAGGGTTGACACGTTGAAATCATGGTGGAAAAGCGGCCGGACACGCGGGTTTCAAGGTGTTGACCTCCAAGCACTACATGAACAAATGATGACAAATGGTTGAATATGGTTGAATGAAACAACAAAGCCTGAATATGTGGGTGGGTTAGAATCATGAGGACTCAGTAGCAACGTCATGGAACCAGTAGCAGCATTCGCTGGAGCGCTGGGATTCAACATGATTCGACACAAGCTTCCTGGAATCTCCTGTTTGCTTCTTTCGTGATATCTGTGTCGAGCTAGCAAATGGTGTATGATATGCTTAGCTTAGCATTCTGCCGCTCGGTGTTGACGGTTCAACAAGCGAACTGAGTGGTGGGTCAGCTTCGAACTGAGCAGTTCAGCTGGAGTGTGAGTCTTCACCTTCTTCTGTGACTTCTTCTGCGTCTGTAACTCAGAATCTACTGTAGACAAATTTGACTTGGAGAGAAAGGATGGATTGGTCTGCACCCTGCCTTGGTGCCCAAGTAGGCCTCTGCCGTCTCCTTCATCTTCAACAAGACCATGGAGGAAATCTCCTCTGGGTGGAACTTCTTCTCCTCACCTGAAGGATGTGGGGATGAGAGAAACCAAGAGCCTGAAAAAGCTTTTGGCACATTGATGGGACTGGAGATTGATGTGGGTAAACCATGGTAAAGCCTCGTTTAAACGCCTTCAAACATGGTATCTGGACCGCCGAAGTTGGTGTTCCAACATGCTGATTGAACATCTGGGCAATTTCCCACCTCATCTAAATCATCTTGACCTGTTACCAGATGTTACCAGCATCAGATGAACATTACAGGCTCACGATCTGAAATGTCCATCAACAGTAGCTCCAGCCCATTACTCTCCGTCCGCAATCCCTGTCTCTACCATATATTTCTCGCATAGGCGCCTGAAAGTGATCACCTTTCTCCCAAGAACGGAAGGGAATCCAACCTTTCGCGCCACGCAAGATGCTAGTTATTCTATGTTCTTCTCATTCTGCCGACCCCTTTCGGACTTCACGGGGGGGGGGGGCGGACACGACACCGCTCCTCGACCCGACCGAGAACGAGGTGCCGGTCCCCCCCGACCGAGCCAGCGGTCCGGTCCGACCTTGCGCGTTCACCACGATCATGGGCTTCTCCGCTGGGCCGGAGATCACCTTGAAGGGCCAAAGCTTCATGTCCGCCTGGTCGGGGGTGATGAAGATCTGAGGAGCTGAGCTGAGGAGCTCCGCATGGAGCTCCGCATGGGAGCTGGGGAGGGGAGGCTGGGGTGTTTGAGGTCTTTGGGGTGCGACGTGCGTGATTTTGTCTTTTTCTGCGCTCTCACAACTGCCCACGACCCTTTTTGTTGCAATGACATGAAATACGACATGTAGATCCGTTCTTGAAGAATCAAACTTGACCCCTCATCCCACGCCCGCACCCCATCAAAGGCTCCGGAAATGGGCCGCCTGCACGTGCGCCTCGGTGAACTTGCGTCCGATCAGCCGCTTGGCGTCGAAGACGGTGTTCTCCGGGTTGCGGGCCACCTGGAGACGGGGGTTGCAGGGAGGCCTACCAGGTCAATTAGGATGCTTGAGATCATTTGAGAGAGATACATCCTGGTAGCATCAGGATTTGGGAGCAGGTTACTGTACACAAATGATAGAAGCCGTACTAACCATTACCAATAAATCACATATTATAGTTACTGGGCTTGGGCCACATGCCGCCACTGGCCACTCAAGTCTCTCCAGCGATCCCCAAGATCGAAGGTCCAAAGTAGTCATGAAGTCTTGGTGCCCAGCTCAATTGTATATATCTTCCTCATGAGAAGATACCAGCTGCTTGACCCGGGGTCATCTGTCTGGACAACCCTAAACCCTACCCAATTGGGCCTCCAAACAGGGCATCCCATTGGAAGCGCTATAGGGATGCCCAATCAGCTGCACCACCCTTGCAGACTACGAGTATGGTAGGTACCGTCATTATTCAAAGGAGCAGTCACTCCAATCTTCTGTAAACCAGTGCTTTGACTCTCGCAACAAGTCGTAAGGATACAGTTGCTGTGTAGTCAAAACCAACTATAAACGTGGACGTTTGATGATGTTTAGTAGATATATAAAGCACTAAATTGTGGGGCAACAAGACAACACGGAAAAAACGCCTATGATTAAACCACGTCTGAGTCCTATGAGATCAGCACCAACCACAGGTCTAGTGCTTGTAGATCTAGAACCGACCACCCCCGCCTGAGACCCCCCCGCATACCTCCCGCATACCAAGGGCCGCGAGCGAATGCGGCGCCTGATTCTTGGCGGCATCACCGATCAGCCGCTCGGTGTCGGTGAAGGCCACATAGGATGGAGTGGTCCTGCAAGCGGAAGCAGCGCAGGACAGTCGAAGCAGCGCAGGACCACTAGCAGCCAACTGCATCGGTTGGAAAGCAGAAACTCACCAAGTACAGGGAAAACAAACACATACACACACAACAGATCCGCGTTGGAATTCAGGGGTGTGGGCATATGGTTCAGATTTTGGTCATGCTTGATTCATCCGTTGCGGGATCACCACTTGATCGAAATCGGTGGATGAGCCATCCGACCGGTTTCAGGTGCTCTAGAAGTCCTGATTCAACAATTTGATGTTCTCTGTGCTCTCTCACACTCTTCTACGTGCTTCGTAGCCTCACTACGGCCATCGCGGCCGTCACTAGAAGCACGCACGTCCAGCGGAACGGCCGTGCTATGCCGTTACTCTCCGGTCCGGTTCCCCTGATCATTCGCGATGATCTCCACTCCATCGTTCCTTGGTTGAAGCTGAAACCATGCCGAAACACGAAACACTCCATGGAACTGGAATATGTACACACTGACTCCTGAAACCACCTCAAACATGCCATACCGTACCGAATGTTTGGGATGTGAAGAGTGAAGATGTTCGTCCAAAAAGGCTCGTGGCCTCGGTTTTTGGCCAAATCAATTCGGTGTTTGGGCAATGTGAATGGTATCCATTCAATGCAACGGTGCCTCAGGGATTCCAGATTTAGAGTGTAATTGCAGTGGACAGTAGACCCTGCAGCGAAGGACTTTGGACTCATATTGCAAAGTGAATGAACTAATGAACTAATTGAAGGAAAGACTCTTCCAAACACCGACGCACGAGTAGGTTGTGCCAAGGTCAATTCCGATGGCAGTCTTCTTGGCCATGATGAATTGAGAGAAAAAAAAAGCGAATGTATCGCTGAATGCTATGAAGGCAGCTGAAGCCAAAACTCTGACGGCGACCCGAAGCACATTGCGACCACCCTGGGTTTAGGCTGACGTGTGTCTTTTCTTTTCGATTTTTAGATGCCATCCTCCCAAGACTGATCCGAGCGCCTGAAGCCGGCCCCATCATAGTGAAGTGCGAATCAAGCAGTCAAGCACATCTGTATCACATCATTAAAGACTAAACACATTGTCTACATATTATATCTAACCAATTAGATTCGAGCCCAAATACAATGACATCATATCACATGTAATCATACAGCATTAACTAACAATCTGCCACGCCAAATGTGTCTGAGCACTAGTGAAGCTAGAAAGAATCTAGACTACAAGGACACCTTAGATGTTCACCATTTGAGCGTTCGAATTTCACCTGAACCACCTTGTATTAGCAGTGCCCTGTGATCCCTGCTGTATTAATTGCTGATGTAAGATGTAAAGTGGAGATCTCAGCAACGAATGAATACCCTCTTGGAAGACTGTTTTCCTCTACAAACGGGAGAGTACCAATATCAGAATCTCCACGTTCTTCCGCCTCTCGGACGACCTTCGCTCCACAACCGCCGCCTGACATCGCCCGCAGCGCAGGAGCTGCTGTCGGGAAGCGGCCCAAAGGCTCACCCCGGAGGTTCCTGCGGTCGTGCGGTGCCTGGGAGGCTCATTCAGCTTCCAAAGAGGACTGGAGGCCTGGAGTCCGCTGGTTTTGGGTTCTGTATCCCCAAAGGCGGAAAGGTCTGCGGAAAGGTCGGGGGGGCCGTTGACTGGGGTCGTCGGCGCTGGGGTTTTGGAGGGAGGGGATGCTGCGAAGCGATGCCTTGAAAGTCCACAAGAAAATGATAGAACATGAGGGTTTATAGAGGTTGCTTCATTTGACACTTTTGGCATCTATTGGCTACTTGATGGGGTCTCCATGCCATTGTTATTTGTGCAAGCAGCGGGGACTTCAACGGGGCTAGACCCGGCGAATGGAAACGAAACAATTGGAGTGGCAGTGGCCTCAATGGGGGTGCCCCTTGCTGCACCTCACTGTCGCAACTCTGACCACCTTTCATCAATCTGCACTTGATCTGACAAAACTACCCACCAGCTTTCTTGCTTGTATCACAAAGACCACCCTTTCTACAAACACATACAAGCACTACAGGTAATCAACATTCAACGTAGATGAATGCTCGTTCTACCCAGCAAATGCATTGTTTTGCGCGACCGAGAGCACCTCAACCTCAAACACCACAAATGTCACAAATGTCTCTGCTGAAGTTGTTCCACTTTGCATCCCACGGAACGATCCCATGGAACTCCAAAAGAGACCTGTGAAAGAACATGTGGGAGGACACATGCGAGGACTGCGAACAGCCAAACTGAACAAACCTTTCCAATTCAGCAGACCACCCCCTTCTTTCCCGAAACACCTTTAAAAAACACACTTAGTCATAGGGTTTGCAGTTAACTCAGTTCCAAGTAGAAAAAGGTGAGGGAACGGAATGGCGCAAGATCAGCTCAACCGAAATGTTTAACAATGTTGACGCGTGACTGCGGAAGGCTGCGGTGGCTCAGCTGCAAACGCGGCAGGAAAATGGCTTATGGGAAGTATCATGAAAAGACCATGAATCAAAACGAGGAGAGTGGTGTCACAGCGTGTGGAAAAGTTCAGCAGGTACACATTAAGGCTGAATGCTTCCACCAGTCTTCCGTGGCTTCGTTGGGCAACGTAGGAAGACTGGCCGTTGCCCCCCTGCTTATGACATTGAGGATGGTCGTAATATGTCGTAATCAAAACTCGTAGAGACGGAGGGTGACACACACGCACAAACACACACACACACACATACACCGGCGCGCTTTGTTGCGTCCCTGACCGGCACCCCACCGGCACGCGGTCCGCCTGCGAGCGCTGGCCTCTTCAGCAGTTCCCCTCGCTCGGGTGACCGTCGAACGTGTTGGACGCTCCCAGTCTTCGCCCGAAAGGGTCCGAAGAACGCCATATGGGCCCGCTGGAAAAGCGGAAGACATGGCCTATTGTGTGTTTGCAAAAGCGGAAAACAAAAACGTCACAGTAGACGTATAGACATGTTTTCTTTGTTTTTTCGTTAAAAAAACGGTACGTGTTTTGTGCGGCCGCCGCACCGTGCGGCGGGCCGCCGATCCCACCCGACTTGAGGAGGGACGGTCTGTTGCCCCCACCTGTTCGAGGGAAGGCCATCGGCGAGTGCTTCACACTCCTTGGCGACGTGAGACGTGAGACGTTGAGCCACGAGGTGTTGAGCCACGATGAAGTGTGGTTTCTTCAGCCTTTTAGCTGTTTTGGCAGCCGTTTCTCGTGTCATGAGATGTGATGCATTTGGATCTGAATCCATTTGGGGTATTGTATAGCCAATTCAATCACCAAGGCCAAGGACCCTAGATTGTTTTGAACATAATTACCTTCAAATGCGTTTCGAAGGTCTTGGACCCTTGCGTAGATCCTTCTGCGAAGAGAGGCCTTTCCTCCATTCTGCGAGAGCCACTTCCAGGGAATCCCCGGCTTCATAGGCGAAGTCTTCCTCTACCACTAGGGAAGTCCACTTACAACTGGGTGTCTTCCAAATAGCAACTGGGTGTCCAAAAAACAGAGTGAAATGATCACATAATCAACAGCTAAATAGTCAAACTTCCAAGACCAGTGGAGCCGCGGTTTTCTTTTTTTCAGCGAATTGTGTTTGTCTGCCATCAGCAAATTGGCACCTGGCATCCAGAATCCACCAAACATGGCGGTTGCAAATGTCAATTGAAGATTGTTGAAGCCAGAAACTATCTAAATTAAAGGAATGAGGACAAATACAGCCAGGGTCTTTTTAATACCTGCCACTGCTTGATCACGGGTGATCACCCCAAGCGATCTACTTCTGACGGAAGGCCAGAGCAACTTCGACTCCTTCCTTGCATAACTGATCCAAGAGCTTCTTCCGACGAGCTTCTCCAGCCTTTTGCATCTCAGAACTGCTCTTCTCCGCAGCCCTCGCCTGTTTCCATCCACAACTGTAAGTCTGAGGGTCAGGAACCCCAGAAACCCACCTGAGCAAATGCCACCCCCACAGTAAGCCAACAACAGAAAGCTGGGCCAACCACGGAATGCAATTTCTTTTTCAACATTTCATTTGTCATATCCTGCAAAGAATTTGATTGAAAGATTGCCAAGCAGAACAACACATCCACACAATGGCAAAGACTTTCTAATTTTTATTTTCTGAACCGTCTTGAGTCATTGAGCGCAAACAGAACCAAGTCCTTTGGGGAATGGTCGAGCTTTGACTTCTTCGCAAACTTGTTGCTCTTTGCTTTTGCCTTGGCTTTTCCTGCTGCCTTTGGTTGTCCATGTTGCTTTTCTTTGGTCTTCTTTGTGTGTGCATTTACCCTGGGTGTTGTCAGCGCCAGCTTTGTAATCTGCTCTTTGTCCTGAAGGCAAAATTAAGAGCAGCCCACATTATGACACAACGCAAGAAGGAAAAAATAAGCAAATGGGCAACTTGAGGAAAACAATGCAGCCTCGGCTGCTGTCTTTGTTGTGATTTTTCCTTCTGGTGCAGGATTTGCAACGGCAGACTTTGGAGTATCATGCTTTGGTTCGGGTGCAGCCGGCAAGGTCTCATTCTTGGGCGCCGGTGTGCATGCATCCTTTGCATCCTCAGAGTTCTTCCTTCCTTTTTTCGCTTTTGCTTTCACAGCAGTCGTCTTTTTCGCACCTGTCTTGGCCTGACAACAACATAGGAAGCAAGACCAGGAAAACGTGAGGCAGCAATACTTCTTCTAAAATCAAGACCTAAGAATGCAAGAGCCTTCTCATCAGCAGCCGGACGTTTTTTTGGAGTCTTAGTAGTGTCTTCTCCTGTTGCACCAGTTCCTTCATCTTCGTCATCAGATTTGGATTTCTTGTTCTTTGAAACCTCCTTTTCCGAATCTTTTGTCTCGCCCTTGCTTTTGCGTGGTCTGCCTTTAGCTTTGGGCTCTGCCTTCTTTTTCTTTTCATTGTCTTCATCTTTTTCGGAGGACGACCCTGATGCATTGAACTTTGGTGGCAAACCTCAGCATAACAAAACAAATGTTGGGAAAATGGTGGTCACCCCAAAGCTCCATAGGAAACATGTGACCATCTCATCCCGCCTGCTGTTGAACTTGTTGGAGGGCCGCCAGCACTAGAGCTTCCCTTTGGGGCTGCACTTGCTTTTGTAGTTGGGGATGCGCTTGCTTTTGTACTTGGGTTTGCGCTTGCTTGTGCTCGCGGTGCGCGCGCAGGTTGAGAGACAGTACCCATCAAGTGTTCAAGATCGAAGGCCTTCGTGCCACAGGTCACAGACACAGGCAAACAAAAACAATTTCACCATGATTTAACAACAAAAAACATTTGACCTGAAAGGAAGGAGCAAACAAGGAGAACAACAAGGTATGAAAGGAGCAAACGTGTTGTTTGAGGCTGAGGCAGGGATTGATCTTGCAACCGGGGCCATCCCCACAGCAGGCCGCATACCCGTAAGCTCTGGCTCAGAATCAGAACTATAAGAAGCCATTGTGGCGTCTCAAAATGTCTCAAACCCTTTTTGAGACATCAAATGTCTTCAGAATGCAATTCTTTTGACAGGGTGTTCAATGTCCCAGAGACAAAGCAATGTTTCATTGCAGTCACAACCATCGTAACCTTCCTCTGGTTTTGGCCTGTCGACCCCTGAGCAGTGCCCAAGACTTCGATGACGAGGCACAGGGATTGGTAGCTCTAGTCAGGGCCATGTGCTTCAAAAAAAGGATCAATCTTTCCGGAGATACAGTTTGCTATACATGACTTCGCATGATCGAAAACTATAAACCATGAGACTTGCCAATGATAAATCACACTTGACTTTATCCGCTTTATCTTCATGTGGGCCAAAAAATGTTTGAAGCACACCCCCCGAAGGCTGGCTTTGTAGGGCTCTGTGTGAACCCTTGTGGCATCTCAAAAAGCATGGGAAGGCTTGACCAGGATCTTTAAAGCAAACAGCCATATATGGCCACTGGGTCATCTCATATTTGGCAGGACATAGCCTATTGAATCCATTCCCAAATTGTTCAGCTTCCCCTGCGACCAGTCATGCTTCACATGACTTGCACCACTTGATTTTCAGCGAGCTCAACTTGCCCCTTCAATATACACACAGGTCGCTGCGGAACAAGCTGCGTGCTTCCCCCAGCGGGCTCCAATCTGGCGAAGGGAAGGAAAAATGACACTGATATGATCCAAGCCTAAGTGAATGACATAATAAACTCTAAGAGTCTACTTGAACGATTGGTTGAAATTGACATTTAATAGCAAAGGTCCCCAGTGTCATGGCGCACCTCACACGCCATGCCACCTCAAATGCTTTGCATTGGACCAACTTTTGAAGATCCATCTTTGCTCCGAAAGTGATGGCTGAAAGCTTTGGGTCTTTGACAGCCTTCTTCTTTCGCTTTTTGGTCGGGGGTTCACCAGCAGGTGTGTCCAAGACAAAGCACAAGGCTTTGTCAAGCTCGATCGCCCCCCCGGCCAAATCCAATTTGCGGTGAGAGAAGCCAACTTTTACCTCATATCCACCAGCGCTCATGCAACATAATATTGGTATGCGGACTAAAACAAAGGGATCATGTTTGAAGGTTTGTGAAGAGCAACTCGTTCATCCAAGATACTTCCCCCTGGTCTTCCAGGGCCATGAGCAGGTCTTTCAAGGGCACAGGTTGATCAAGACAAGACAACTCGCTGAGATGCGCAGGGATTTTTTTCTTCTCCAGGATAATCATCGATTCAAACCCAACGTGGCATTTCAGCCAACTTCCAGCTGTGTCAGCCATGACTTGAGTTGCATCAGTGCCATCATTCCAAACACCACTCCCGAAACTGAAGAGTTCCCGGCGGTGGGGCAACATAGCTTGCTCTGACCCCGCTTTCAGGTAGGCATCACGCCCGTCTTCAGAAACAATGAGGCTCACCTGGCTGTTCACAGCCAACTCAGACCTGGGAAGCCAGCAGTTGGCTCAAGGTACATCAAGGTTACAGCTGATTGCCAATGGTTGGAAACCAGCAAGCTGGCGGCCAAGCTTTGCTTGGATGCCAGCGAGCTGGCTGCCAAGGATTGCTTGGATGCCAGCAGTTGGTTGCCAACGTTTGGCTTCAGCAGTGGTTGGTTAGACTGTTGGTTAGATGCAGCAATCAAATGAAACACATTGGAACCACAAATGCGCATAAACACAATGTGGCTGCAAGTAAGAAGGTCACGGATTGGGAATGGAAGCCATCTTGGCGGGCGTTAGCTCCTGCCCGTCTTCAGGTTCGACCAGCTCGACTTTGGCAGCTGCAACATCCCTCTTTGACGGGGAAGGCTTCTCACTCACCCGCAGATTCTCAGAATTGTACTTCTCGTTGTGCTCTTCAACCAATTGAGTAAACTCCAGGCAAGTTTCTGATTCCTCTTTGCCAAACTGTTGAAAGAATTGCTCTTGCACAATGAGGTTCCCGGATGGGTGTAGGGTGGTTACCTTGAAGGCCTCCCCAAGGCCAGGTGCACCATCCCCAGTGCCAGCTGTGTCTGAGAGCTCAGCCACCAATGGGGCAAAGTCTGGGAAGCCAGAAACCGAAAAGCTCTTGAGTCTGCACTTTTCATACAACGATGTAGCAATGCGATCCAAAATGATTTCCCCCGGCAATGCCCTACGTTTCTTCGTTGACGCAGACTCAATGACCACCGTTGCGCAAACAACTTTGGGAGATTCGACCTATCCAGCAAGGAAAGCCACACCCAAATCTACGATATCAAACATTAAACAACAAATGAATCAACATTATGACAATATCAATTTGCAAACTAATATTAACATGGGGACATGAAATGGCAATGATAACAAGGAGAGGCCTCCAAAGTACTCAAAGCAGGAAATGCATCGTAGCCATGTCCATCCACAAGGGCCAAACGCTGCACAGAGGTGTTTTGCGTCAGGCCAGCAATCAAACGCTTCAAGACATCGGTTCCACCACAAGCCTGGTGTGAAAAACACAATTACGATATCCAAACACTACATCATGATTGATGTCAAAGAATCATTGATGTACTTAAAAAACAATTAATAGCCCAATACTGTTTGAGAACGGTTCAATCAAGAATCAAATCCAAGAAACTTGTTTGGCTTCTTGGCAGTCAGTGAAGGCCGCGTTCATTTTGACTTCAATCGTTTCTTGACA